CGGGGGGGCACTGTGCCCCCTCCCACCGCTCCCCCAGCACCATAAAACACCTGGGGGTGTGGGGAGACGAAGGCAGCCAGTGCCACCTCTCAGCATCTCCCTGGCGTGTCCATGGACCGAAGCGATCCTGACACGAAGTGAAGGAGGGGGAGGCTGATAGAAGCTGAGTGCTATTTTTTTTTCCTTTTTTCTTTTTTTTTTTTTCTTTCAAAAATCTTTCCTTAAGTGCGAACACCATCTGGCTCCCCCAACTCTGTCAGTGCTTCCAGTCCCCAGGCAGCTTCGCTCTTCCTAATTACTGTCATTAGGCAGTGGGTAGCGATTAGGGAGGGATGCTGATGAGCGGCATCAGGAAGGCTGTGGTCCCCTGACAGCCTCGTGCATGGGACTGGGTGGCCTCTTCTCCCCAGCCCAGGGCCTTTTCCCATTGGGGAGATTGGTGGGTAGCACGGTGGGGGTTTTTTTGGTAGAGGCTGATGGAGAGGGGATGGGGAAGGGAAGTTCCGATTGGCACGTCCGAGTCCCAGGGAGTCCCCAGAGAGGCCTGACACCACCGGTGATGGGCTGCTCCAGGGAGCGGGACGATGGTAGAGGTGCTCAGTGCCGGTGAGGGAAGGAGCAGCAGCTTGCTGCATCCTGCTCTGCCTCTGGTTGTCCCACTGCTTCGTGCCTGCTCTGCCCACAGGTGTCCAGCCACCAATGACCACTTCTCCTGGGCAGCCCAGAGGCTGTGGTGATGGGCCACGCTGCCGGATCCACCAGCAGCCGTTTCTCCTGGGCAGCCCAGAGGCCATGGTGATGGGCTGCGTGGCCAGACGGAGTCAAGCCCCGCTGTCACCCTTCTGTCTGACCAAAGTGGGACTGGCCACCAGCCTGCATGGCCTTCCCTGGCTCCCCTTGCTGCGTTTGGGCATTCATCCTTCCACAAAGCTCCCCTGCAGCACTGCAGCCATGCAGGCCAGCATGTAGTGTCAGTGCCACCTCGTGGCAGGCACCCAGGGCCTGCTGGCCTCTCATTGTCACCCACGGCCTGCCACGGGTGTCCCATGGGGATTGCAGAGGCACCCATGTGTCCCTCTGCCATGGCTGGCCCTGGGAAGTGGGTGGTGGGGGAAGGCTTCTGTGGGGCAGGACAAGATCTGTGCCCCATGAATGGGTGATGGGGTGGTCGGACCGGACGCAACCCCGGTCTTCTTGCAGCAAGTGGGGGTGTCGGAGGCTGTACCCAAAGACAAGGCTGTCCCTGTTGCATGTTGGCCATTGGAGTATTGCTTCGCCCATGGGATAAAATAGTGCCCACCTTACCCTGCCTGCTGTCAAGGTTCAACACCCACAAAAAGCCCATGGAGGGGCAAACTGGGTCTGTGGGGGTCTATGGGGGGTGCTCTTGGCTGGAGTAGATGGGCCTGTGCGTGAACTATCAGGAGACTTAGTGGGTCTAAGTCACTAGACTGGTGGGTGAACCAGCAACAGGATGAGTGAGGAGAAAGTGAAGTATGAGGACCTGGGGGGAGGATGGTGGAGGAAAGCCGAGGACCTTGGGAGGCTGGGGAGTTTATGGGATTGAGGAAGGTTTGGCAGACATGACCAGTGGCTGCAGAGTAAGACCCTTGGCCAGGGTACTCTTGGTGCCTCCCCTCCCTGTGCCACCACGGTCTGTTGGCCAGCTGGCTCATGCCTTTAGGACCAGGGATGAAAACCACCTCCATCCCAAGGGACACTAAGGCTTCTGTCCCTTACCAATAGTGTCATTGGTGGGACTTGCAGGAGCTCAAAGACTGGTGGGGATGAAATGGCTAGGGATATGACCGAGGTGGCTTTGTGGCGAGGAGGGTTTTAGCCCTGGTTCCTTCCTCTTGCCCTGGGGTTTCCTCAGACTTTCCCCTGGCTCTCTCTGAAACCCTGCGCCCCTGCGGCCAGGTGAAGCCCGGCCTCACCAGCCTTTCTAGGCAGTGGGGCGGGTGCCGGGCCGGGGAGGAAGCACAGCTCCTGCCTTGCAGGGGGAAGTGAGAAACTGCTGTGGAAATTCAAAGATGGGCAACACCCCCCTACCCCCCCCCCCAAAAAAAAAAAAACAACCAAAAACCACTTGCCCTGCTCCCCATCGCATCAGCCAACTCCTGGGGAGGCCACGGCAGGGATGGAGGTGACCAGGCTCAGGTTGTCCCTGGCCAAGCAGGAAGCTGTGTGCAGGGGATGTACTGGGGAAGCTGGAGCAGAGGGAGCCTCTCCAGCTCAAGGTCCTGCTGTACCCCCTCGGACAACCATGGAGGAGATCCCTGAAGCCAGGGCAATGGGGATCGAGAAGGCATGTCCCTATACAGACCCCCGAGCATGCATCGGCAGTGGGTTCACTTTATTCTTTAATTTTTATAACCGTATTTTTCATGTCCATTTCCTCTGCTCTCCATGTAGTTGTCTACAAGACAGACAGCCCCCTGCCCTGTACATAGGGATGGAGAAGCACGCACAGAGAGGGTCGCAAATCTCCCCCAGGCCCAGGCAGACCGGGCAGGGGGGCGCCACTGCCCCACCATGCTGGCAGTTGGGCAGGCAGGACATGGGGAAGATGCCCCACACGTCATAAGAGAGAGAGGATCTGAGGGGCATTCGCCGTCTGAGGAATCCAATGTGGATCAAAATGCCGCTTCTGTGAACTGCAGATGCGGGCAGTGTCCCATAGAGGAGATGCCTGGCTGAAATTCTAGCAGAAATGAGAGCAGAAGCCCTTACCTGAGCAGAAAGAGGGGCATTTTCAATGGTTTTGCACAGCAGTTTCTGTTTCAAATTTCTGCGCTGGTTGAGGTGGGCAGCACATCCACAGGGCTGAGTTACGGCAGTCACCAGGCAGGAATCGGGAGAGGAGCCCAATAGTCCTTCTCCCTTTCCCTCTTGCCCCCATCTCCCATGAAGCAGGTTGCTCTGCTTCTCATGAGCAGTCTTTCCAGCGCCAAAACGTCCCCTTGCCTGACTTCAGCTCATTTCCCTGCTCCAGATGCACAAAGGTTGCTCGAAGTCACTTCACAGGGCTGGGTGTGGGGCATGGGGATGAGGAGATGCCCGATTCGTGCTGCAGGGATGCTCCTCCTGCGATGGGCAGCACGGCTGCTGCAGACAACTGGGACCCCAGTGCTGGAGCCTCCACAGCTCCTGCTGGTGAGCCACGGGTACCTGGAGCCCCAAGGAGCAGTCTCTGGGCACGTGGACCAGCCCCTCTGCCATCGCCAGCCCTGAGGCTGAGACAGGGACCCATTCCATCCTAGGTCATGCAGAGTCTCAGATGGATGAAGGCTCACCTCCACCACTGTGTTTAGGTCTGGGAGAGGAGTCATGGTGAGGAATTTGGGCCTTGCCACCTGTGGCAGCTCCTGTGGTTCCCCTTATGGGATGGATGCCATGAGTCCAGCTCCAGTGCCACAACAGGGGAGAAGAGAGAGGGTCATCTTTCAACAGCAGTGTCTGGTCCTGCGGGCCAGAAGAGAGCTCAGGCTTGGGTGGAGGGTCACCTTCCTCTCATCAGAGAGACGTACCCTCCTCATAGTGCCACTGGGTGACCCTACCATGAGCTGTGGCCCTCGGTGTCACATTGACGCTTGGCAGCAGTGCTCCCACACTTTGCTTGGCCACCTCTGCTCAGTCCCGAAGCTTCCTGAGTGAGGAGGCCGCCTTGCCGAAGGAAGAGGTCACCCGGGCTGCCACCAAGATGGCACTTCATGCAAATAACCCCCCAGCAAGGTACATCTAATTGCCTAACCACCCCCTCCAGAGCCAGCAGTGTTTCTCACCCAAGCCATTGGCCAGGCTTTGTTCAGCCAGGGGGATCAGCTGCTGTAATTTCTTGGGAACAGCAATCCCACATTAATGAGTTCATTTCTGAAGCAGAGCCCTTCCTGCACAGTAAAGCCACTTGCAGGTAGGTGAGCAAGACCATCTACAGAGAAATGCCTCGCACCAGCACCGCCGGCCAGCTCTGGTACACAGGCAAAGCCTTGAAGACACTCACATAAATTAAGTCATCCCGCCTACGCTCGCATCACTCCCTGCCTGGTTTTGCATGGCGTGGAAACATCCATCACCGGGAGCCCTGTCACCCCGAGTGACATGAGGTGTTTCTGCAGCCACTATGAGCTGAAGTGACGGTTGTCTGAGGCCGCAATGACAAGCTCATGGAGCATCTCTAGACCAGCAATCTCCCTTGCCTGCCCCCGGTCCTCCCTGACTTCAGTGATTGTAGGTCAGAGCAAAGGCAGAATTTTTTTTCCTCCCTCTACCCTCCCTTGTGCCCTGCTTGGGAAGACGGACTTATTCCCCATCCCCTGGGTACCCGCCTCTGGAGGGGATTCCCACAACCACCGGTGGATGCCTGCCACCACGTGAGAGCGCTCAGAGGGAGGAGAGACCTGGATATTACAGCGTGCAGAAGAGAAGGGGGCAGGACTGGGAATGGAGCAGATGCTGGATGCGCCTTGCTCCATATGGCCCCAAGCCTCCTTTTATTGAGGTCAGTAGCAAAAATTGAGCTAATGGCAGCAGTGTGGGACTTGATCCTAATGATTCCCTGCTTCCCTCTCCATCTTGCTTTCCCCCCCTCCTTTCTGCTATTCCAGCCTCGTGTCCCCAGGAATCGCCCATCCAGCAGCAGACCCGTCCTGGCACAACTGCAGCCTCACAAGCGGTACAGCAGCCCCCCCCATGCTCCGTCCTCACCGGCCACGTCTCCTCTGCCTCCTCCCAATGGCATGGCTGCGGCAGCTGTCAGCAGTTCAGTGTAACTCGGTGTGATCAACTTCAGCTTCTACCGGTGCTTACAGGTCCAACATGGGACTCAGTGCAAATGGGAAAGCGGAAAAGGGCAGTGATCCTAGAAGGCTGATCTTGCTCAAGGCAAAACCTGGTCCTCAGCCAGCTCAAATCTGTGCAAGGCTTTGCCCGACCCCGGGGATGGGCTCTGGGTGTCCACAGGGAGCAGCCAGAGCGCTCCAGCCCCATTCGCCCTGTCCTCAGGCTCTCTCCTCGCTGGCACAGTTCTGGGTGGTTTTGGTGGTGACCAGGGCTGCAGCCCCCAGCTCAGTGGCAGGCAGTGGGAAGCTGTGGTTGCACTCCTCGTGCCGGGGGTACACAGTAGAGAGCAGGACGATGTCACCGTTGGCATCACCCCGGCAGCACGGCCTCCGCTTTGCACCGGCTTTCCCAGGTGGCCCCGGTATCTTCAGGCCTCCATTATGATGTGGGCATGGAGCTGGATCCAGGATGGCATCTCCCTCTGGCATAGCAGGGTCCTGGCAGCCTGGGCTGGGCAGGGGGCTGGTGGCATCCATGTTTGCTGGGAGAGGACAAGAAAAGGGGGTTATGGGGCTCACAAAGTGGGGCTGGGTGGGTCCCAGGGAGAGGGTCCTACCCCTGGGGACACACGGAGGGGGGCAAAGATGGAGCTGGAGCAAGAGGAGCGTGCAAGGTCCCCACCACACCTCTCCTGCTTACAACTGATGGGGTTTTTCCCACCCTAAAAAACAACAGGGAGAGGCAGAGACTTGCCCTTGCACTTCGAGCCCTCTCGCTAAACCCTGCCAGAGGCAGAGCAGCCTGGCCCTCGGTGGCATGCCCTCCCCAACCGCCTCCCACTTAAAAATAGACTTGTTTACATGCTTCAAACACAGGCTCGTGCCGCCGGCCCCAAGCCTCCTGTGACTTTCCACGCATCCAGTGCCGCAGTGGTGGGCTTGCTGGGGTGCAGCCCAGGGGGATAGTGGGGACAGGGACCAGGGCACGTGGCAGGGGAGTGGCTGGGGGGTGCCTCCGACGCTCTCCATCATGGTCAGACCTCTCTTGCCCATGGATTTCCCCATCCTCTTTTGTTCTTGGTGTTTTTCCCATGCATGTTCGTCACGGGCTGTCACAGCCACACTCGGTTTAGCAGAAAGGCCCCAGGTAACGTCCCCCCCTAGCCTGAGTCACCCGGCTGGCATTGCCAGCGGTGTGCGGGCACACCAGGGTGTGAGGACCGGCTGCCCCCAGCCCCACCACCCCTGAGGGCACCCACCCAGGTGGTGGGGTGGTGGTGGGTGCCAGCATCCCCTGGGGATCCATACCCCCTGCCTGGGGATGGGGAAGGGTGAAGCCAGATAAGATCATTTCCGAGAAGAGTGGCCAGGGTTGAATCAGCGCTGGGGCAGGGATCCCCGGGGGACGAAGCAGCTGCCCGGCCCCTGGCTGATGCCCCAACAAGATGAGCCATCACAGGGCACCGTGGCCTCACCCCCCTGGAAATACCCAGCCAGGAAAGGTTCAGCCATGTCCCTCACCCCCCAGCCCTATTTTTGATGCCTTTGGGGATGACCCCATGCAGTGCCTCAGCATCCTGCTGACAGGGCTGGTCCTGACACCACAGGGGTCTTTGGGGCACACATTGGAGGGCACCCAGCATCCCAAATGGCAGTGCCAGGCTGGGACTACCATTTGTCCACTGCCATCCCTGCAGCCCCTGCTCCATCCATGGGTCTTCAGCTGCTGGGCGAGAGGGACAGGCAACTTTCTGGTGCTCTGTGCGTGTCCCCCATGGAGAGGGGACAGTGCCAGCGGGTGCTTTAAGCAAGCAAAGGCACGGGGACACCTGGCAAAAGGAGGGACAGTTCAGTGGGTCCTGCTGGGAGCCAGGTGTGGGTGTGGGTTCCCAGGGGCCACAGGACACTGTCACCACTCGGGGGCAACTCAGCTGCCCCAAAATGCCCCGGGGTGCCCATGGAGCCCATGTCGAGGTGGAGGAGCCAGTCTCAACAAGGATGTGCCTTGGGGGAGCTGGCGGCAAGCAATCCCACCTGCCCTGAGAGCCTTGGGATGCAGTGACAGGGAGAGCAAGAGGTCCCCTACCTTCAGCCTCCTCGTCTGCCGCCTTCCTCTTCCTCCTCTGCTTGCCCACCTTGCAGGCCAGGAAGCCCCAGAGGGCAGCCAGAGCCAGGATGAGCCCCACCACCGCTGGAACCCCAAAGATCAGGAGGGTGCTGGGCAGGTCCACTGACGGGAGGGTGGGCGCCAGGGTGGAGGTGGGCGCCATGCGGGCGGGCTCTGCTGTGGGGTGAAACACCAGCAGCGTCAGGAGGGGGAAAGCTGGGGCGAGGGAAGGAGGGCAGCAGCGTTTCCCATCCAGCTGGCTGGCCTCAGGGCTGCAATGGTGGGGAAGGAGAGTGGCTCTTCATTGCTATTCACCTACCGCCCGCAACAAACCATCCCCAAGCCTGACTGGGACTCTTGTCCCACCCACTGCTGTTTCTGGCTGGTGGGAGATGAGGGCATCCTACTCTTCCCCATGGTCACACCTGGGGCAGGCTGTGACCCCCACACCAGGCTGGATCATCCCTCTTCTCCCTGCACCGCACTCCCTTCACTGGAACTGGCTGCCCTCTTCTTCTGTCCTACTCCTCCAGGTGAAGGCAGTGCTCCATTCTCCATCGCCACCTCCATCACCATCTACAGGAAAAGGTCCCCTCCACCTGCCCATCCCTGGTGTGCCCCCAACCCCCTTGGCCCACCACCACCGAGCCCCGGGGAGCTTGGTCCATGGCTGCCCTTGTCCCCTTACTTGCGTTCTCCTTGAACAAGTCGGAGCACTGGACGCAGGACCTGGTCAGGGGGTCGAAGCACTGGGAGGAGAGGCAGGAGGAGGAAGCGGCAGCTTTTCCTGATGAGGACATGGCGGAGTGGGAGCGAGAGCCTGGCTCCCGCATGGCGGGGCAGCGAAGGGACCGCCCGAGTGTGAAATCGCAGTGCCTCAGGGCCCGTGGCAGAGGGAGATACAGTCTGTCAAGCTGCGTCGTCTCCCCTGGGGCTTGCGATCGCTGCACTTGCCCTGGGGCGGATCTTCACCAAGGAGGAGGAGAGCAAACGCTCAAGCCCTACCCCTGCCTGCCCATGCAACGCACCCTCAAACTACCCCTCTCCTCCAAAATACGCTTCCAAAATCCACAGAAGCCCTGGCGTGCCCCAGCCACACAGCACTCCATGCCCAGTGGCATGGTGCCCCAGCCCAACAGCGTCACCTCCTCGGCCCTCACCCTTCCCCAGCCCACCCATACGTTGCCCCCACCCCAGGCACATCCCCCAGCCCGCACCCTCCCTCACCAGCCAGGGAAAAGCACCCTCAGCATCCTCCAGTGCCAACAGGACACTTTCCTGTGCCCAGATCTTTACAAGACCCTGTCCCAGGGCCACAGATCTGGCTTGGATGGAAAATGCAGAAAAGGGCCAGAGGAGAAAAGAGTGCAAGGGCACTGAGGTTTTTCCCTTTTAAAAGCTCCCACTGCCCCCAGGACACAGCCTGTTAGTGACTGCTGCGCGGGCAGGCCAACTGATGTTTGTTCTCCATCCCTACTAATGATGGTGCTCTTCATCACCTTGCTCTCTCCATCCTCTCCATCCCAGACCTAGACCTGTGACAAGGACCCTCCCAGCTCCTTGGCACCATGTCTCATTCTCCGGGGTTCAGATGTGGCTTTGCTCAGTAACTGCCCAGGCCATGGGCAAAGCAGGTCACACCAAGCATGTCCAGTCCCCATACACTTGGAAGGAACTAAATAAACTCTTAATGGTTTTAGTTGTGCCTGATCATGAGAAACCTTCAGCCATCAGTCCCCATACATCAAAGCCCGATGCTTGAGATCTGAAGTGGATAAGTGATGGATTTCAGTGCTGCAGGTGGCTCCTCTCTGTCCCTGACAAACAAAAGTGACATCCCGTTTTCCTTCACCCCGTAGGAAAGAAAGGGACCAGCCACAGTTGCTGGCTTGTTCTCACCTGAAGGAAGCAGCACAGGAGACCTGCCCTGGCTAGGAGAGTTTCCAGCAAGGTCTCTGCCACTTCTGTGCTGGACTGAGGCTGGGAGGGGAGGAGGAAAAAAGCCAAAGGACAGTCTGGCTCGAGGTGACAGAGTACCAGGTGTCCCCACTGAGCAACCAAACTCTTCTGACACAGGCCACAGTACTTAGTCCCTGGATGCACCTGCCCCTCTCCAATGGCTTTTGGGCAAGCTGAGCCCACAGCCTCCACACCTCATCCTGTGAAGTCCCGGGTAGGATGCAGGCATCAACTCCTCACACCAGGTCACAGCCCAAGCATGGCTCTCCAGCACCCAATGCCCCACAGGGCAGGAGCTGCCCTACGGCGGGGCCCTCCCAGCCCCACGGCTGTGTCTCCCTCCCTGCCTGCAGCATTCCCAGAGGATGGCTTTGCACCCGGGCAGTGCCAAAGCAGCCCCAGCACCACCTCAGCTCTCCCCGCCGGGTGCCACTGGGCTCCGAGCGAGTGAAAGTCCTGACCAAAACCGGTCGCTGCCTGCTGGTTCCACGCCTGCCGCAATTTCACTTCCCTTTCCAGCCAGCGTGCCCAGCCACTTGCTCCCCCACCCCTTGCACGCACCCCTGGCTGCTGGGGAGCACCCCGCACTGTACTGGCAGGGATGGCCGTGCCAAGCCCAGGGTGGCTGCGGGCTCGTCCGAGGAGCTGCAAGAGCCCGGCCGCCATTCCTGTGCCTGTGACTCAGTAATTCCCCCTCCGTCTTAGTCAAAGTAAAAATCCCCATATGAGCGGGGACACGCCAAGCACTTCCCTCTCTCTCAGCGTGGCCCCAAAATCTGAAGCCATGGGTGGCACGGCCCGCTTGTCACCCTGTGCCTCCATGCTTGCGCTGAACATGCTGTGGTCACCCCTGTGCAGGTAGCTGCTGGGGGAGAACATCTCTCGGTATCCCACCTCACCAGGCTCCCTGCCTCTCATGCGCCCCGGGCAAGGAGCAGGGCTGTGGGGCAAGCCCAGAAGCAAGAGCGGTGTGCATCCAGCAGCTGGGTGCACTGGGAGGATCTCAGGGGGGTTCAGAAAGCCACAGCAAGGAGGGCTGAGGGGTCAGGAGAAAAGCTCAGGCTCGCTCCAGGCCACATCTGAGCTCCAGGGAGGAGAGGGCACACGGAGTGCTCACTGTCCTTGGCAGGCAGCTTGCATAAGTGTAAAGGTAGGAACTAGGGAGCAGACAACATTTTGCTTTGTGAGCTGGTGCCACACATGGTGGCAGAGGACCCCCACAAAATAGGCAGTGCCCTGTCAGGACATGCGCCCCTGAAACAGCTCACTGCTCCAAAGGTTTCATTGTTCCTCCTACCCCGGGGTGTTTCCACCTCCTGGTCTCCTTTTCCCAAAGGGGGATGCTGCTCCATCATCACCCTCTCACCCTCTCCCCTGAAATCCGCCCCCCTCCCCCCGATGCTTCCCTCACGTCAGTTGTCTCTTGGCGACCCCCAGCCCCCGTTCCCGTAGGTCCCCCCGGGGCACTGCCACCCTACCCCTCTCCCTTCCCTCTCCCCTCCCTGCCTGGCTTAATGCAGGGTTGGGGGGAAATGAGTCCTAGCATGTGCTGTACCACGCTTACAGATTAACCCTGTGACTCCTCCAGTCAAATATACGCACCAGGGAAAGCCCAAACCGTGGTACCTACATGTTGCTTTTGACACAGAGAGCGAGGTTTACAGTAGAGCTCAGGAGCTGATGGCTCCTGTTTCGGTACCTGGAATGAAAAACTGAAGCTGCATATGCATAGCGAGGAGCCTGGGGACGGCAGCTGTGATGTCCTCCTGCAAGCGAAGTGCTCCCAGGTCCTGTTGCATGGAAGGATGTTGCAGCCTCATCACCGCGATTGATCTTACCCAATCGCCCTCCCATTTTCTAAGCCCTTTTTATCCCCCTCTGCAGCTCCTTCGCACTCCCTTCCCGGCTCGGTCTTCTTCCTCCTGGTCCAAGAAAACAATGTTTGAATTCACACATGATAATGCTTACTCATGGAGAAAATCCCCGCTGACTTCCCCAGCGGCTGCCTGCTCACCAGCACGGCCCAGGCTGCCCAGCCGGTTCCGGGCATCAGCCGTCCCCCTCTTCATCTCCCCCATCTTTGCCTCCCCTGCCCTTCGTAACGGCTGTTCATCGTTTCTGAAGCAGCGAAAGTTAAAGCTTGGTGAGTAGCTTGAACTGTTTGCATCTAAGAGCTGAATACGCTTGATAATAGCACAAATGCATAATTAAAGAGCAGAAAAAATGACTCACTGGATAAGGAAATGCGCTTTTCTTATCTCCTCTGCAGAGAAATGAAAGCCCCAGGAGCCTGGGACTCCGGCTAACTAAGTGCTTTTATTAAACAAATAAACCAGCAAAGATATCAAACGAGCTATTTAAAAATTATATCTTAATCCTGAAGTCAGAGAGCTCGATTTCCAGTGCGGTTTGCTCCAACTGTGCACTGGGAGGACTGGCTTTGGCTGCATTCAGCTGCTGGGATCTCTGCGGAGAGCCCAGCAAGCGACAGGGCCGTGTCAGTGATCCTGGGAGCGGTGAGGGACAGTGGTGTCCTGTGGGTGGTCGTGCACACGTGAGCAACTGGACTCGTGTGAGCGGTTCCTCTGGTGTCAGGGGTGGGTGAAGTGACTCACGCACATGCTTGCAGAACCACCCGTAGCAGAAAATATCCACCGAAAGTTCACCTTGTACTTGTGTGCACCGGAAACCCAAAGGCTTGTCGATCAGAGAAGCCGCGAGGTGTTTATCAAGCAGACCCAGTTACCTTGGGACAGGCATCTGACAGGATGCACTCAATGCCCCGGGAACACCTTGACACAGTCCGATGTCTGTCCCGCGTCCAGATGGTACCACTGGAAGGCTTTGGATTTTGTGCCCACAGCACATTTGGCACCTCACCCCTGAGCCCTGCTCCTACGCCTCTGCCCCAACTGGTGGGAAGCGCTTCCTCCTGAAAGGTCCCACTATGGATCTCGGGACCTGGTTTCTCAGGGCTCCAACACAAACCTCCTGCTTGGGATCCACCACAACGCCCCAGCATGGCCCAGCGCACCCTTTGCTCTGCTTTCTCAAAGCCAGCTGGGCTTAGGGACAAATTCTGGGAAGGTTTTAGGAATAAGGTGGGAAAATAAACGTTTCAAGACATTCACCAATGCCCTAAATCTGGACCCCTCCACAGGTGCTCTGCTTCTTACCAAGGATTTTTGTAGCACTTCTCAACGACCTGCATGGGGAGTTTGGTGTGGGACAGTGCCCGGTGGCAACAGTTCTGCTGAACATGGTTTGTCTCCTCTCCTTCTGGTTTAAAGGCGCCTGCACCTGTGCTTGTCCACTAAGTTAAGGAAAAATTAGCAAGTGTCCTTGGTTCCCTCTGCAAGGAGACTTTTACCTCTGCAGGGGTGATACTGAGCACCCGAATTAGGCTTCTACAGTGGGGTGCCCTTTGAAGACCCCTCCAGGGTTGCAGAGGGAGGGTGGTGGGTCAGCACTGCCTGGGCTCAAGCTCCCTCTACCCATTCCCCCTCCCTGCTCCAGAGAGCCCAAGAGGGACAAAGCAGCACTGAGGACATGGGGGAACACCCCATCCCCGATCCGGCCCTGGGGGAGCTGAACCCTTGACCTCCCCTGCCAGGAGCAGGTAGGGAGGGCAGAAGCGAGGGGGGTTTCCAGCTGGTGTGCTGGCTGCCCTTGCTGCTCTGCAGAGCGCGGTGGGACTCTCTTAGCAAGACTTGCACCCCCAGATGCTGCCTGGGTTCTCACAAGCCCCCACACATCATGAGCGACACACCATTAGCTGAGCCCAGCTCTTCTTGCCTGGACGTCTCCATGACGTCTCCCATTGCTCGTTCTGCCTGCAGCG